ACATTCTGTACATTTGCTTCTTGTTCTTGTTATTTTGATGGTTTATTTTTCTTAGTACTAGTGGTAAAACCAGGGAGCTCCCCCTGCACTACATCCTCAGTCCTTTATTTCATTTATTTCATTTTTTCAATGACTCAAAAAGTCATTTCCCAATGTCATAAATGTTGTGCCTATTTAAGGTATAAACAATATTATGGGACATGTATGCATAGTGAAAAACATTACTATAATGAAGTAAATTAACCCATCATCTCATCTAGTTCACCACTTTGCTTTTGTGGCAATAGCTAAAATATACTCAGTATATTTTAGTGTACCAAATGTGGCACAGTTGTAGTACCTGTCATCCTCGTGTTGTCTATTAGATCTCTAGACTTGTTCATCCTAAGTGTGTCCCGTGTTGCATCCTCAGGCTTACATCTCTGTGTTTCCTTCCACTCACCCACTCTGCTCCTGGTACCCACAGGTTTTCTCCCCTTCTTGAGTGGATTCTCTGGAGGCCTTCCACTGATGGCCTACAGATGCCTGCCGGGCTGTGGCACATAGAAATGACCGTGAAAATTTGATTCTGCTCAAGACCGTGCACTTGGTCATGGACTGGAACAGGCTACACAGCTGGTTTCAGACCCTCAATGTTTTGGAATAAAATATAAAAGTTAATCAGAATATCTATGGCAGGATACATGGATATAGATACAGACATATAAAATTGACCCAGGACAATTCCTCTCTTCTAAGCAGACTTGTTCCCTCTGAAATCTGGACACACTTTGCAACAGCAGTGTCTGAACAGTGTGTCAATGCATATTCTGCAGCTTTTCTCATTCTTGTGAAATTTAAAATCAATGGGATTTAGATCCACTATCTTCTGAGATAGATGGCTTCTCCCTTCTCCCCTCTTTCCATTTTGGAGAGGTAGCATTTTCATCTGTTCTGCTCTCTCTCTGTCTTTCAAGCATGTAAGAGCTCAGAGCAAAAGGGGCAGTGTCTCTGAGACCTTGTAACTGGGGCTCACTGAGTCCACAGTCTCCTCTCTGCAGCAGTGCAGTGTACCTGCATTTTTAAAACTTCTGCACCTGTTCCTGGTGCAGTCTCATTCTGGTGGGCACATGTCCCGTTGGGAGTCCGTGTTACTGGGGTCCCTGACAGCTGGGATGCACTGCTTTTATCTCTCAGGCTCACAGCCAGGCTCTCTTTGCTCTGAGGGTGGCACGACCACTTTCTCCTTCCCTGGTCTCAGATGGGGCCTCTTGGGCTCAGCAGTGGGGATCGGTGAGGCAGAGTGAGCTGAGGCCTGTGCTGAGGCTGAAGCAGGGGGCTCCCATTGAGGGTCAGCAGCTCTTTCCAGGTACAGGACTAGGCACTGTGTGAGAGCCAGGGAATGTGGACAGCACCCCGACTTCCATCTGTGCCTGTGGATGGGTCTCCCTTATGCTTTCACTGTGTCCAGAGGCACAGCTCATGGCCCCCTAGGGCCTGAGGCCCACGTAGCCCAGCTGCCCTCAGTCTTCTCCTCCCTGAAGAGCTCCCTTTCCAGCCTCCCTGCTTGGAGCAACATCTCTCCCACCCAAGGGGTCAGGGAGCCAGTTCTTCCTGCAGCGTCCCTCATTGCACTTGGCCGCAGGCTGCGATGAGACCGTGTCCCCTGCTGGGGCCTTGCCCACTTCACCCCCACTCCGGAGCTCTGCCTTCTCCAGGTGTGCTCCTCCTGTCCAGCCCCTACAGGCACAGAGCTGCATCCTGAGTTCTTGAGCTACACTTCCCACATCATCCCCGGTGGTGGGTGAGGCTCAGGCCTCTTTCACCCCAGAGCAAGCTTGGGTCCTCCCTGGCTGGATGGAAAGTGACCCTGCACCTGAGGAAGGCAGTTCCCGAAGGGACTAAGGGGCTGTCCTCAAGAATAGTGCAGATGCATTGTGCCAGCTGGCAGCCAAGGGAAAAAATGTAGATTTGGCCACTTTTGACCTATTTGACATGGAAAATTTCAGATACAAAAGCAGAGAGAGGAATGAAATGAATCCCTGCTGCCCCACCTTGCCTTCCCGTTACCAGTTCTTGCCAGCTGCTCTATGGCTGCACCGTACTTGGCCTGATTCTGTGCATTTACCAGGCGCCCTTCTGTGCTAATGGTGTAGCCTCAATGTCTGCAGCCACGCACATTTCTGAGGGACTTGCTTCCTGTCCTGGAGAGCTGTTTCTAAACTCAATATTTTGCATCAGGCCCTTTTTCAAACCTATCTTATCTCCAGCCCTTAGGTTCAAAACAGATAAAGTGGTATTAACATGAAGAAAGCTATTACACAAGTCCACTCTTCTATGATTTGTTGCTGAAATCAAGTTGGCTCTGGGAAAGACCCATTAAACTTCTATCACAAAAATTGAGCTTTGGGTTTTGATATCAGTTGCAGTGCTATGACCCCATGTATCTTAGGATTCTATTTGGATGAACAATATTCAGAATGGTGGAGTCACACAGGTAAGCCGTTGCTCATGGCAACCATTTTCAATCTTGTTTTTAACCTATTTCTCTTGTGATCTTTCTAGTCTTCAATTAATGGCTCTAAGTGCCTAAGCACATAGGAAAGGCTTGCAGGACCCCCCTCCCCCTCAGTGTCCCCCCTCAGAGTTGAAAAATTGAAATCTCATGGGGTGAATCATTTACAGAAAATTCAAATACAAGTACATTCACAGGAAGGAAAATTTAAGTTTAACTTTGACCCAAAAGGGAGCAAAATAGGCCACATCATTCAATATACTGGTGGTTTCTGAAGAGTTTAAATTTTGTATGCAGTCATTGGGGTGTGCATTGCGTTTGCTGCCATTGTCAAATACAAAGAAAATAGTATATTGTAATCAAACACTGGCAGAAATCCTAAATCTCAGAGTTCAGGAGGACCTAATTTGAAAATTTTGGCACTCTCCAAGGTGAGGTTTTGGAAGTTTGTTTTTCCGCTCTCGGCTGTCACCATTTATGATGTGGCGCAATCAGAAACAGCCCTCCACTGAGCAGAGAAGGTTTATATCCGGGCCCTACCTGCTGCTCGGTTTTCCTCCAGTGTTTGGATGCAAGGGGGTAGCTGTGTCTCTTTTAACGATGACTCAGCCTGTCTTCCTCCCTTCCACCTCGATCACACTTCTGCTTCATATTCAGATCACGGCTTCCTTGTACACTTTTTCCCTTCAGTTTCTGGTTGCTTTTTTTCTTATTATATTTTTTTCACAAATGTGTCTTTTATCAAATAATGTGTTCTTTTCAGCCTGTTATTTCTTCTCTCTCACTCCACATCTCCATCCTCTCCCAGAGACCCCTGATGGCCCCTCCCCTGCCCCTCCTCTTCCTCATTGGACTCACCTTTTCAGCCTAGTGCCTTGATCGTTGGGCAGTCACTGCTCCCCATCTCTACGCTGAGTCTAAAAGTTTACCTCTTTCTCAGTTTTCACCCTCGTTTTTCCAAAGCTGATCAAGGACATGTCCATGGGAAACAAGCTCTCTGACGCCTTAATGCCCCTCTTTGCCTTCAGGCTTGAATAGTTTTCCACTCGAGAAAACCATTGTATGATTTTTTGTCGACTTCCTGCCTCCCACTCACCCCGTTGTCTCCTGATGGAGCCTCTGTTAGTGACGTGAGCCTCCCTGGCCTTGTCCTTATGGTCTGCGTCATTTCTGTCATACTTGTCATCTCTGTGGCTTTTCCCAGCTGAACTTTCCACCAGTTACAGAAAATTATTTCATCAGTGGTAGCTTTAATTGCCTTATCACTCTCTGTTTTTCTGGTTGCAATAGCCTCTTGAATTCGGGGCAGGATACTACCTTTTTAAGAAATGATTTCTCATTCTTTTCGTGGGCAGCTTCTTTTAAAAACATCTGTCTTTATTGTGTGTCTCATGGCAAAGACTGTTCACAAGCCCCTCGTGATTCTGGGTATAGGAAAAGTTGGCAGAGGCTGTGCAGCCGAGCAACCCGGCCAGGCTTCCCAGTCCTCCAAATGAGAAGAACTTCACTCTGAGAGTGAGGGCCTTCACTGGCTGCCTAGGTTTCATACAGAGGTTTACTTTCATTTACATGTGTGGCTGCATTTTAAGGGTACCTGGAATTTGTTTTAATTTAATGTAGACAGACATGCAGACACGGAAAGACTGTTGGGGAAGGACACCATGCAGGGGCAGAGGGGAGCCTGGATTGATCCTGACGCAGAGGCGAGCAGGGAGAATGTGGACAGGAGCCTTTGTTTGGTTCTGGGAAGGAACTGGCCAGGCAGGCAGCAAGCAGGCTCACAATCTGCTGTGGGAATGACTCCAGCAGGCTCTGGTGTGTGGAGGCTGCTCCTGGGCCATTACGGCTGGTGGACAGGGACTCCAGGGGCTGGAACCCCAAACCAGGTCCGGGGACAAGAGCTGTAGACGGACTGCATGTGAAGGAGCTCCTGAAGCAGCTGGTTACTCTGTCTGGGAACTAACTCCTCCCCGAGGGGCAGTCTCTTCAGGCCTCAGAGCATCAGGATACAGAGAGTAGAGACACAGGATGAGCTGTTAACTTTAATTGTTTTTCTCTCTGATGAATGTTTGTGCTTGCTTTATCCAAGTTGTAACTCCTGGCTGGTGAAGGTTTGAACTTGGGCAGAAGAAGTGCCCAGTTGTATGTCTCTAAAACTTGTAGTTAGCTTGCTGTCCTCACCCCCTCCCTGTGCTCACTAACTGTGACCCCTCGAGTTGGTCCTGATGCTCCGCCCTGTCCTGCTGCTCCTGCAGTGTCTACCACTGAGGACACAGTGGTGAGCAGCAGTCGCATGCTGCGCCCTGTTTAAGAGACTGGGTCCAGAATCCCAGCCTGGTGGGGCCCACAGGGTGGCAGTGTGTTCCTCCCCGCTCCTTGGCCCAGTTGTGGGGTGCCTAGGGGCCAACAGGAGCCCCTGCAAAGTTGCTGCCATTCTGACTATGGCCACAGTAGATCTAAGAGACCCAGCCTTATAACCCTGGCTCACAAATCCTTCTGTTTCTAGTGCCGATGAGCGGTTTGACGCCACATTCCACACCAACGTCCTGGTGAATTCTTCTGGGCATTGCCAGTACCTCCCTCCAGGTAAGATCCACTTCCTGTGTCTCCTTCCAGTTAGAGACGTGAAGGGAGGATGCGTATTAGCCTGATGGTCGCCCACCTGAGCTGGGGGCTGGCTCTACACCGAGTGCACCCCACCTGTCTCCGCTGGGCGCCTTCCTGAGTCTGTTGCATTCACGGGTGCCGTCTTTCTCTTTGTCTCCGAGTCATGGCTCAGATGGTGTTTGCCAACATGTTGCTGCGTTCTTTTCCTGTAAAGTCAATCTGCAATTAAAGCGAGTCTCCCTTATCAGGTAATTTACACTTCTCTGTCCAGTTCACAAGCTGGACAGGCTCTTTCCTCTCTCTTTCCACCCGCAGGCCTGATACGCAGGCCCCTTCTCCCTGACAGGACCCCACCATTTAGCTCCCAGCTGACTCAGTACCTTGACAGAGGCCCCAGGTGTGGCGGGAGATGGTGGGAGGTCTGGTATGCTGGGCTCATGCATTTCAGAGCAGTCACAGGTTGGACGCCGGGCAGAGATTCCAGAGAGGAGCTTGTTAGTGTCTGGCTCCCAGAGGGTTTCCCTCCTCCTCAGCCTCCTGATGGTGAGAGTCCTTGGACTGATGTCCCCCGGCCGCCATTTCTGTGGGCCTCTACTTAGCAGTTCAAGACCCAGTCAGGGTGTGTTTTTGCACTTGGACGTTAACAGTTGAGATTGTTTTTTATTGTTTGAAGATTGTTTAAATGTACTATTTTCAAGGATTATTTCCCCCACTGCAACTGTCTGGTTTATTTAATTTCCTACTCACAAGAGATCTGCAACTGCTCCCCACACACACCTCACCACTCTTGCTAATACACAGCCCTGCACACTGTCACACACTGCACGCGACATGCATACTCTCAGCCACATCACACACCTACATACTCACCAGACTGCTGCTCACGTACACGCAGACCACACAAGTTCCCACACCTGTGCACACTCATGCATACCATGCACACGCTGCTCTCCAGAGTCAGCCTCTGGCTCCCTGCTCTCACAGCACACGGTGGAGCTGGGTTTGCCTTCTGGGTGGTTGTTTACAACACGCTTTTCCTGTCAGCAGGTGCTAAGCATCCACAGTCAGTCTCTGTGCTCACCTGGGAGACCTGTGTGGCCCGTGTGATGGGAACCATCAAGGCTGATGATGCTGGCAATGTCTGTGTAGGAGGAGGAAACCCAGCTGTGTCAGTTTCTACTTGAGACCCTTGCTGCTGGCCACTCCCTCCCTGTCCCCTGCCCCAGTGCTTGCTCTGCACAGCAGCCCCATAGCCTTTGCACACTGGGCTATGGAGTGCCTTCCACCACACCTGTGTTCTCGCACCAAGCCTGCAAGTTGCAGCTTGTGTTATGAGGCCACTTTAGATAAAGGCTCCCAGTAGTCACAGGATAGAAGGTCACCGTGCTGCAGACATTCGGAAGGCTGAGGCTATTTGCAGCTACAGTGGCAGTGCTCCAGACCCTCACACTCCCAGCGTACAGCACCGCCTCTGGGACTCCAGCCCTGTGAAGGCCTCAGGGCCCAAAGCCTGGTCAGGACAGGACACAGTGTGCTGAGCCCTGGGACTTGTGTGCTGCCAGGGAAGGTACAGAGCTGTGGGTTCTTTTGGTCACAGAAGGCTGGCTCTGGGATGCTGCTCTGTTCCTGCTAGTGGACAAGGGAAAATAAGAATGTCTAGGATGCAGGTTTTGAAATAAAGACTTGATTTTGTAATGTGACTCCTCCCCTCCATTTCGTGTGTTTATTTTCAGCAGCTTTGTGGAGGTATAATTTACATATCATACATTTTAAGCGCATGAGTCAATGATTTTTAGTAAATTCACAGAGTTGTGCAGCCTTACCACACTCCAGTTTTAGAGCATTCCCATCAGCTCACAAAGATCCCTTTGCCCTGTGCAGTTCATCCCCACTGGTCCCCCACCAGCCCCATCAACCACAGACCTGCTTTCGTCTTTTCCTTGGGTCTTTGAATAGCAATGGCATCGTGTGGTTTTAGTCTTCTAACTCCCAAATAATGTGGGTCTGAGGGAATCCACCCCACTAATGGGAAGGGAGGGTGTGGAATAAGCTCCAGATTTTTGCGTACATTTGACATACTGCTGCAAATCACATTTAATGGACCTTGAGTGGGCAGGGAGTATATATTTGGCTGTGAGGTGGGGTCCATGTTTACAAAGCCCCCCGGTCACTTAAAGAAAATTAAAATTAAATTCTTTCTTTAATTCAGTAGCAAAAGCTGACAGAGTGCCTGTCTTGCCCCACTAGCCCAGGGACACCTACACCATCCATGCCATCCAGTGTAGCCCAGGCACATCGGAGGAGGGAAAAGCTCAGGTGTGAAAAGCTGGACTGAGCTTATCTGGTCTCCTCCCCACGACCTTGTGGAAATTCACTTCCAACTCCCCCAGCCTGGAGTTGCTCTTTTCAGTGGAAACCTTTGTAGCCAGGCACTTTCTTCAGCTGAAACCCATCAATTCTGGTAACTGTTCTTGATCCAGAATCTGAACAAGTGAAGATTATTTTCCACTAAGTATCTCTGGATAAGCAAGTGTTTTCCTGGTTTTTAACCTACAGAAAAGACCTACCCTATCCTTCCACCAGTCACACACCTTTCAGTCTTTTAACCTCTTCATCATTGTTATTAACTTCTCTGAGATTTCTTACGTTCTTTACAGCTCTCTTGTTACTTAGACCCTGAGGCCGCGCAAGGCAAGGGGAAGTTTGTAGAGCTAATTCTTTCACAGAAATCCCCAAGAAAAGTCTTCTTCAACCCAACCTGTATTTGCATTTGAATTTCAAAAGACAATGAGGCTTCAGTGGAGCTGGTTTTTAAAAAATTTTGCAAAATTACAAATACAAGTTATTCTTTTTTTAACGCAGCTTGTTCTGGACAGGGTTAGCAGCAGTTTGAAGAGGTGGGGTGAGCTGGAGAGACTGCTGTGTATTCTGAGCCCATCTCAGCTTCCCTTTCAGTCCCTGATGGTTTGTGTCACCCACGTAGGCATCTTCAAGAGCACCTGCTACATCGACGTTCGCTGGTTCCCCTTTGATGTGCAGCAGTGCAAGCTGAAGTTCGGGTCCTGGTCTTATGGAGGCTGGTCCTTGGACCTCCAGATGCAGGAGGCAGATATCAGCAGCTACATCCCCAATGGAGAATGGGACCTTGTGGGTGAGTCCAGCCAAGGTACCAGACTTGCACCCTGGAATAAGGCTGCTCTGCTTCCTGCCTGAGCTTTAAAATGTTTGAGATTTTTTCTCCTGCCTCTTCAGTGTGAGCATTTACTGAACTTGGCAACATTTCCCATCATTTGCTGTTTTCTGATGAGAAACACAAAACAGTTAGCAAATGTAACACTTTACAGGGGCAGCCTGAAGCATGGCCAGGACACATTTAACAAGTCTGTGCCAGGGGAGACATCCCTGCATTCTTCAGACTCACACCACTGCCCAAACCCACACCACTGCTAAAACTTTGGACAGCAAAGTTCAGTTGATGGCGTGAACCAAGAAAATCACAGAAGAGGCTGAAATAAAGTAAAAACAGTTGTGTTTGGGCCCAAGGTCAATTTGGAAATCAGGAAATGCACGCTGAGGTAGTGCTGTCTCAAGGGGAGGTGGGCTTGGGGCTTTATGACGAGACATCAGTACGCGGCTTAGTATTTCGAGGCAGATAAGTTGGATTGAAGTAGTCTGATGGATGGAAATGGATGCAAATCAGGCTGGTCATAAATATCAGAAGCCTTCTGAATGTCCAGGTCAGGAGGCTAATTGGTAATTCTGGCTTTTCTTAAACCTTTTAAGGAATTGTTAGATTCTGAAAATTTTGTTTCTTCTAGCAGATTTCATTCCCCACATGATATCTGAGTGGCAATCTACCCCCTGTGTGCAACTCTTTAAGGCTCAGGAAAGGATTTCTCTCTCTCTCTCTCTCTCTCTCTCTCTCTCTCTCTCTCTCTCTCTCTCTCTGTCTCCCCTCCCCCCCATTCTGTAGCCATTTTGACTCATTTTATCAATAGGAAACCTATATTTCACTATTTTAAATGGAAAGACAATATAGTCCTAAGTCGCTTGACATCAGGTATGCATTCTGAAAATATGTGTGAACACCATAGTGTGTAGTGACAAAAACTAAGAGAGCCAGGCAATCCCTTGGGTGACTTCATCTTAGGATCCTGACATCATATCTTTGTTTCATCTTTGGCAGAAACATTGCTTTGCAGCCCATGACTGCAATGACATTTATAATAGTATAAAATTGACGATGTGTTATTTATAATAGTGCACTTCCTATCTGTCAAAAGAATGTCTGCCAATTTGCTCACATGTCGCCAAGATACCTTTAAACAACTGCATACCAAGGGTTTGTTCAAACATCAATCTCCCAGTTCTTTACAGCTTAGTGAACTCCAGGGCCGTGCTTGTGTGTGGCGTATATGCCAAAGCACGCAGAGAAATTGTGCTCTGAAGATTGAAGATGCTTCCTTCCCACCGCCTCCAATGTAGGGATCCCTGGCAAGAGAAGTGAGAAGTTCTACGAGTGCTGCAAAGAGCCCTACCCAGACGTCACATACACGGTTACCATGCGCCGAAGGACGCTGTACTATGGCCTCAACCTGCTCATCCCTTGCGTGCTTATCTCGGCCCTGGCCTTGCTGGTGTTTTTGCTCCCTGCAGACTCCGGGGAGAAAATCTCCCTCGGTAAGTGCCTGGCTCTTTGTCAGGACTCTGAGACTGCAGGCCCTTCCCTGAATCAGCTCTGCAGGATCGCTGTCACTGGTGCAGAGCTGCATCGAGGACTCAGGGCCTGCCTGCTTGGCTCATTACACACTGACCTTTGGCCCAGGCAGCTGTGGGAGGACAGAGGCTCTTGGTTCAGGCTCTGAGCTGTACAGATGTAACCTGAGAGTGCTGCAGGCTCTGCAGGCTCTGGGATCCTCTGCTCCCATGGAAAGGATGCGGACACCAGAGAGACCAGTCCAGTCTGCTCGGAGGGCCCTGTGCTTTCTCTCCCGCTGCTACCTCACCGCTTCCTTGCTGTACACAACACAATCCCTACACATGCTCCAGATGAAAATAAGAAAAATAGGATTTTGAATAGCAAAATGGATTTATCAATATCTCAGAGAATTACTAAATAGGTACAGATTTAGTTTATCATAGAAATCATTCCCAAACCTTTCATGTTCCGAATATGGGGCTCAGAATATTAAACGACACACCCAGGGCCATACAGTCAGTAAGTAACTTCATCAAGCCCTGAGACCAGGTCTTCTGACTGCATGGTTTCTTTTTCCTGCTCTGTGAAACTCCTACTCCATGATAATGCAATAAAGAATTGGAGGGATCACTCCAGTCCCTGTGTTAATTCTTCCAAAGCTCTGGTTCCTAAAACTGTCTCCACTGGAGTTCTCTTTGGGACTCTGCTAAGTGACAAGAAAGGCCCCCAGATAAAGGCACGTACCCCTGTAATCAGAAATCCCGTGTTCCAACGCCTCCCCCCAGGACCTCCCTAGTTCTTTGGAACTCAAGTTAGGAGCCCAGATTAGGTGGAATCTAGGCCTTGGTATGTGTTTTGTCTAAGGAACATCTGTGTGTTTATGTTCTAGGGATAACAGTCTTACTGTCTCTTACTGTGTTCATGCTGCTTGTGGCTGAGATCATGCCTGCAACATCTGACTCCGTACCGTTGATAGGTAAGGCAGGTGTCAGGTTCCTTTCCTAAAGATGTGGGGTTAAAAAGTGCTAGGATTCCCAGAAGACACAGGAGCAATAGCATGCAGGGGCCACGGAAAGCTGTATTTTCCTCCATTCCCTATCTGACAACTATTCAGAGTGACCCATGTCCTCTTCTTCCCTGGGCCCACGTAAGGGAAGGGGGTGTCCAACTTTGTAATTGGCCTTTAAATTATAGAACTGCCTGGGAAGTGGTGTCTACCTGCTCAGGTGGAGCTCAGTGCTCCGGAGGCTGGGACAGGGAGAGCACTTGAGCCTAGAATAGGGGTGGCGAACCTGTGGCATGTGTGTTTATTTGTTTTTAAGACAAAAGATGTTAATGTATGAATTGTTTTTTCTAAACTAAAACTGCAGTATTCAGGTTTAGTTGCAGTGAGTGCATTTTGTGATAAATGAGTGGTTTTGGGGTTGTAATTTTAGGACTCATTTCTAAAAGATTCACCATCACTGACCTAGAAGTTCAAGACCAGCCAGGGAAACACAGTGAGACCCCGTCCCCACCTCTAAAAAAATTACAGAAGTTGCTCTTCGTCCCATAATTCTCTCACTCATGCTTGCTTTGGAGTCAAAGATTTTAAAATTAGCAATTAAAATTTTTAGCTGAGACATTGTTTTGTTAAAATGTGAGAAGCACACTAACTTTTAGCTATTGTGCCCTGAGATACTTTTTAAATGTTTGGAGCAATATGAAAGGAAAAATGCGTTTAGGCCAGGACAGATCTAAGGCGTCACCTTCTACCCAGGGAGGGATTACAGGAGACGACATCAGCTACTGCTCTGCACCTTCCTCGATGGGAACAGTGGGATAATGCTGAGGAGCGCTACGTCAGGTGGTTAGGGTTCCCTTCCTGATCAGGAAAACAGGACTTCCATGCCAGTTGCTAGGATGGGCAGCGACCTTCTGTCAGTGGCTGTTTGGTTTAATATAGGAATTGCCATGCACATTTGGAAGTCAGGTCTTTGGCTCTGGCCCACCACTTTCCACCAGGAAAGTGGGTGGTGAACTATTGGCCTGGCCTGGCCAGCGGGAAGCAGTCCAGTTCCGTTTTCCAGCATGACCACAACCCAGGACCCAGCAGTAGAACAAGGTCCAGGTGCACTAGTGTGTGATGTTCAGAGCCACTGGAGCCTGCTCTCACTCACGTCTGCTCTCTTTGCAGCCCAGTACTTTGCCAGCACCATGATCATCGTGGGCCTCTCGGTGGTGGTGACGGTGATCGTGCTGCAGTACCACCACCATGACCCCGACGGGGGCAAGATGCCCAAGTGGGTACGTGCCTCCCACAGAGCTGGGGACCCACCCTCAAGGAGGGCCCGCATGTGGGTTATCTGTTTTAAAAATCAGACAAAAACTGGCACTCGGAAACAAATGGCATGCTTTTTCCTAAGACTTCACTTCTCTCCATATTTTACTCCTTGGTTCTCCTGCTGTGGCAGTGTTTGAATCTGACATTGCAGAGCACAGCTCACACACCGGCTGCTGTGTATTTTTTATAAGCACATGGTTTTAAAACCATTCCTTTGCATATAGTGGAGGGTACTGTGTGGTAGTGGGAGGCAAGAGATGAGGTAAACACATAACAGCAGGGTGGGAGCCCCACAACAGACTGAAGGGCAGAAAGAGTAAGGAGCAGATTGAGCCACACAAAAATAGAGCAGTCCCTCGATGTCTGCAGGACACTGGTTCCAAGTTCTCTTGCAAATACCAAAGTCTGCAGGTGCCTGAGTTCCATCTATACGATGGCACAGCATTGGCTCAGAACCTATGCACACCCTGCTGTGTACCTCAGATCATCCCTGGCTAACTAACAGGACCTAAACAGTGTAAGTGCTGGGTAAATAGCTGTTACGGGCTGTTGTTCAGGGAGTAATTTAAAAAAATGTCTGTAGTTACTCAGTACAAATTCAGTTTATTTTCTCTGAATATTTTTCAGTCTATGGTGGGTTGAATCCATGGATGCACAACCTGAGAATGCAGACAGCTGGGTGTACATACATTCAGTACACACAGGAATGCGATCTAACTGAAAGCCCATAGCACCAAGACCAATAGTCACCAATGGGGAAGGGAAAAGGGAGAAAAGGAAATGGATGATAAAATGCAGGATCTCAGCAGAAGCCATGCCTCGCCTTCCCCATGGCAGCCTGGCCCTGTCTGCTGATGTTCACTCACCATAGCATCTCCTCCCGCGGGACTGTGTCACAAGCTCTGTGTCCACTCCTGGCTAACCGTCGGGATCTTGAGGACCCAGCCAGATCCTGGGCTTTGCTCATCTCACCCAGACAAAACCAAAGCAGTGCAGAGCTGCCTCACCTCCCTGTAGACCTCCCAGGCCTTCCTGTTCAGGGTGTGTAGTCTCAGGATGGACAAAGCCCTCCCATCCCAAAAGGTGCCTGTCTTTCGGGACCCATTAGGTTACATCCAAGTGCAGAAGGGATCACCGACATGCTAAATTCAGACTAAGGAGTGAGGCCCATTGAAATGCCCTCCAGGAACAGAGGGTTTCTGGGTCTTCTAAAAACATCTATTATGCAATATTTTACAGTTACTCAAAGGTTAACTGAGGAGGTTACTTTAAAAATAGCCTTACACATGTACTGTTTGCCCTCAGATTTTTCCATGGCACGTCTCCTGTTACACTGTAGCTCATGGCACCATCAGTGGGGCAAGCTCAGCCTGAGTGGCAATGCCTTGTGCACAGGTGACATCACTGTAGCCCCTGATGTTTGCTTTTACAAGTCCCAGACCCCTTAAAAAGCCACAGTACATTTGCACAACTCCTTTACATTCTTAACTGACTGTTTCCTGATCTTGACACACTGGAGCACAATGCCAGGCCAGATTTGAGCGGCAGTGCCTTGTTTATTTGCATGTCTTTATCCATCTGTGTGTTTGAAGCAGATAATATACTTGTTTCCAAAGCCAAAGGAAAGATAATATACATCAGGAAGTCTGGCTTCTACTCCTATCTCTCACTTTGCTTCCACCACCAATATTAATAACCATTCCGATGAATTCTTTTTCCTTCCATTGTTTATTTCTATGAATACAGAAACATAAAGGCTTATTTAAAGTATTTTGACATGAAGATAATGCAGTTAAAACAAATGCAAAACCATTTTTAATGAGCTGGTAGCACTCTACTCTTCCAAAAAAAATCTTAATTAAGAGCATATGTTAATGGTTCATTTCTCAGCATAAAAGCTTGTGAAAATCAATTGCCTGTAAATAAAATACAAAGCTTATAGATTTCCCTCATTTTATATAGCATCATGCATTTTTCTTGGGTTCCATGTATATTCGAAACATAAACGGCCTCACAGGGACTTTTACTGTGATCTGTGGCTGTGAAGAAAATACTGCCAAGTGCAGTGGCATTATGTGACATTTGCACAGCCAGAAACGCAACTAAAACCTACCAGGAGAGGTAACGAGCACACTTTGGTAAGTGCCAAGAGGATGATTTCATCTTTGGAGATGCTTTGGCCTTGAAAGTTAATGCCTCAGGCCATGGAATTCAAAATGGACTTTGCCATGTGGATCCTGCCAGCTGCAGATGCACCTGAGGCACATGCAGACCCCGCCCTGCTGGGAGAGGTGCCCAGCCCTGCTCAGCCCTGGTTTGCACAGCTGCTTCTGGCTTCAGACTCTCTCCCTGTCCTCCACCCTCCCCCAAATCTGGAGTAGGCTTCCTGTTGTCCTCCGAGAGGGTGCAGGGCTCAGTCACAGGACTTTTGAAAGGAACTAAGGAATAGATGAGGCTGCAAAGTCTAGACGCATAGTGACTTTACTCCTTGTTCATGGTGTGACCTCCAGCCAATATCTTAGCCTTTTTGGGGACAGTTTATTTGTCTGTAAAATGGGGGAATTGTTCTCACTCTGCAGAACCAACCCTGCCTGGTCCTGGTGAGTGACAGAGTCCCTGGGTGAGGTTTCACTGTGGCCATGCTGCACTGCTTTTAACTGATTTTGAAAAGCCCTGCAGGTGGCCACCCGCACGGTGAAGTACACTGCGAAATGAAGGCCTCCCCGCAGCCGCGATGCTGCTCATCCTAGCAGTCTGCTTTCTTCATTTCACTCCCTGTCTCCCAACCCATTGGCTTGAGTTACCTTCGATAAGATGTCATGAAAGTGATTACCAAGAAAGAAAGGCCTGCAGACATGCATTTTACACCTTATCTCTCCCCACAGGTGGGAAGCATACCTGCTCGGTGGCTGATGACATTTTGCCGTAATCATAAAACAAAGCGAAAATGAAATCAGTATCTGCATGATTTCAGGGAAAGGCTCACTTCACACGTATTTATATGGATAGGCTTGCAGGAATCTTTCCTTTTTTTGCCTAAGTTGATGTTGGGACTGTCTCCTTTCTTTCCATGAAGGCAAAATTAATATAAACCCACAGCGTGATTTTTCACCAGCTTCCTCATGCATGCGGGCACTGTAAGTTTACACTTGATCTTAGCCAAAAAGCTGAGAAGCAATAAGTTTATCAAACACCTTAGACTAGAGGTTGGGAAACTGTGGCCCTGGTGGCCAGATGTAGCCCACTATTTTTGTAAATAAAATGTGATTAGAAAACAGCCACTCACATGCTTTCTGGGTGTACTACATCAGCAAGTTGAGTACTTGAACAAAGAGACCTTATGACCAAAAGGGCTAAAGTATTTGCTGCGGTTCCTCTTCTGGAAGTTTGCTAAGCCCTACATTTTGTTGTTGCTGTTGTTGTTGCTGCTTAAATTCTTTTATTGGTACGTTTTAGGTAAACAGTATGTTTACATTCATCACTGGGTGCTTGTACCTGTACATGATGGATCTTGGTTCTTATTTTTCCCCCATTACCTGTGCGCCCTTCACCCCCTCCACCCTTCCCTATTTACATAGACTTTGTTTCCATTTTTTCTTTTCTCATAATTTTTCCTTTCCCTTCTTTCCTTTCCCCTTCCCCTCCCTCCACCCCTACTTTTTTGGGCCTTTTCTTCCTATTTCAAATTATCAATTATTCATTTTAATCATTTTAATCCTTATTTACACTTTCAGTTTCTCACACCAGAAAAACCATTTGGTATTTACACACGTGTGTCCTATTCATTTCACTTAAGAGGATGGCCTCAATATGCATCCACTTAGCTATAAATGTCTCTAGTTTCTTGTTCTTTATGGCTGAGTAGTACTCCATTTTATAAAAAAAAAAAACACCACATTTTCTTTATCCAATTTCCAGTTGGTGGGCACTTGGGCTGTTTCCAAGCTTTCCCAAGGCCTACTTTTGACTTTGCAAAGTGCTTTCCAGGAGTTCATGCTCTTTGGCCTTTGCTGCAGCCTAGTGAGTGAGGTCAGAGGCCTGAGGCTGCCATAGTTCACAACACATCAGTGTCTCAAAGTTTTTTTCACGGAGCTCCTGGGCCCAAAGAAATAATAGTGAGAGGTCTCTTTATTCCATAGGTTAAAGCAACTTAATAAATATCCATGCCTTAGCCTTCTCCCACACAGGGCTGGCTTCCTCCTGCCCCAGAGAAAACTTCAGCCCATTCCCGGGTGGTGCACACCTAAGGTGGTCCACGCGTTGTGTTTGACTCAGCCTTGTAAGGGCTTGGCATTGCCTATCTTTGCTAAGTTAGGGGGGAGGCGGTGGAGCCAGTCACCCTCAGGATTGCTGATGCCTGCTCCTGGGCCGCTCACAACCTTCTGTTGCCTCCCCAGACCAGAGTCATCCTCCTGAACTGGTGCGCCTGGTTCCTGCGCATGAAGAGGCCGGGGGAGGACAAGGTGCGACCCGCCTGCCAACACAAGCAGCGCCGCTGCAGCCTGGCCAGCATGGAGCTGAGCGCCGGGGCCGCGCCCCCCGCCAGCAATGGCAACCTGCTGTACATCGGCTTCCGAGGCCTGGAAGGCATGCACTGCGCCCCCACCCCTGACTCAGGGGTCGTGTGTGGCCGCCTGGCCTGCTCCCCCACGCATGACGAGCACTTGCTGCGTGCCGGGCAGCACCCTGACGGGGATCCAGACCTGGCCAAGATCCTGGAGGAGGTGCGCTACATCGCCAACCGCTTCCGCTGCCAGGACGAGAGCGAGGCTGTGTGCAGCGAGTGGAAGTTCGCGGCCTGCGTGGTCGACCGCCTGTGCCTCATGGCCTTCTCGGTCTTCACCATCATCTGCACCATCGGCATCCTCATGTCTGCCCCAAACTTCGTGGAAGCTGTGTCTAAAGACTTCGCCTGATGTCAGCTGGCCTGCACGTGGAGGAAACGCAGAGAGGCAGAGTCACTCACTGGGTGGGTGAGAATGTGGGGTGCTGACCCAGCAGCACCATGAGCAGAGGGCTCTGAGGTACCCTTGTGACTGTCCATCCTGATGGTCGCAGTTTTCTTGTTATTTCAGTCATAGGATCTCGACACACCGTTCTCTTTAATCCCTTTCTTATGCATACATCGGCCCATCCTTACAGTCAGCAGGGCCACCGAATGGCCATTTTGCCCACTTGTCCACTCTCTGGATAGCCCTGCAGGACGGTCTCTGCAGCTCCAGACCTCCAGGGAAGGCCTGCACCGTTCGTTCTGCATGCTTGCATGTCACTTGCCAGTAAGGTCCACGTGGAAATGCAGCGCGTGCGTTTTGCCTGTGTACAGACCTAGATTGAAACGAATAGTAAACCACACTCACTAAGTCCTTTCCAACAATTGACTTGTAAAAGGAAAATAACCTCAAAAGAACTAAAACTAAAACCTTACCTGTTGGTTTTTCTACAATTCAACTTTTTCTGCCCTCCACCAAACAGTTGGTAAAGAACACAGTTTTTGTCCTTTCTGTATGAGAGAGTTGGTCATTCTGCAAACCTACACCTATTGAAGGAATCAGAGGGAATCAGAGGGACTCGGGTTTGGGCCGGTTCCAAGCTGGAACCACCCCAGCTGCATGTGTACGTGTTGGGTAGTGTGGACGTGTCCGCGGTATTTCCCAGGCAGCTCCGAAGCTTCCTGTGTTGTCCCAAACATGGAGGAGTCAAGCAAATCTGTTCCATTCTGCAAAGGACAAAGAGATGTACGAGAATTACCAAGCCAAAAGAACAGCAGAAGTTAACTTAAACCAGTTCTGTGCTTTTTGAAAAGCATGCATTAGATGCTTCACATGTATTAGGGCTCATGAGTCTTAGAAATGTGTACGTCCATACAAGCACACACCCTAAAGCGAACATGTCCCCTGGCTTTTTCTCCATGTAGGGGCAGAGGACAGGGGCTGGACCCTCTCTGGCCCCTGCATGGCAGCTACTGGGGAGGGGCGGTGCTCTGGTGCCTTTCCCAGACACAGGGCCAGCGGCAGTCAGCGGGGAGACACTGTCAGAATAGCAGAGGCGGGACAGCCACTGTCCCGTTTGTGGCTTTTGGGGATCTGTGTGTCCCAGTTACTTCACTGCAGCATCAGCTGAGAAAGCTGACTTGGGTTTGACGGGGGGATTCATTGGAAATGTTTAATGTTTAGATCGAACAGGGGACAGCGTGCTCCACCTAGGTTATCCCGCTGGTGAGAGTCATTTTGCTTCTTTCCGTTCTCACTTTTAATGAGATCAGAGCATAATTCACCAATCTCTTCAGTGTTTAGACTGCGAAGCTACACCGGGCTTCTAAGCTCTGAGAGTTCCGCGGACTGTTCCTAACCCCTGAGATGGGCCCATCATGGGAAAAGATCAGGTTTTCAGAGCAAAAGGACTTGCACATCTTTCTCAGCCACCTATTTCACGCTTTTCTGGGTAATGCACATGAATTCATCGGTGCTGGGGGAAGATGAAGGCTTGCGTGTGCTCTGTGCATGCATGTGCACAAGTGCTGTGTGCAGCTCGGGAGCATGGATGTTGTTTACAACAGGAAAGTTGGTACCTCAGGAGAGTGTGGCATTGAGCTATGTGGAGCAGGGTCTCCTCCGAGCCCACCCATTCTACGTGGTATAGACAAATGACGCACAATATTTCTGGGGTCTTTTCTTTCTATTAAAGTGTCTTTAGAAACAAATAGAAGTGTTTTGATGTATAAAGAGAATGCTTCATTTCTGACTGTTAGCCCCAGGTTGGTCCCTACCACAGTTTTTGCTTTAAAGAAAGAGAAAACCTTTTTGGTTTTGTATTTTAGATGGAAAAACATAAAAGGTAAATAAAAGTAATTCATGTTTTGACCATCCAAGCAACTTCTATATGATTTATAAAAATAAGGAATAGCTGTGCAGATAGTTAGTGTGAATGTTAAGTAGTCTCCCCGGCTCTCCTTTCTTTCTCTCTCCCGATAGGGGCCGCTGATGAATTTGGGTGGCATTTCCAGAAGGAAGGGAGGGGACTGAGGGGGGACGTGGAGAGAGATTGTTTCTCTAGAACTCATGCTATGTAAAGCATTCTGCACATTTTTGTTGTAAGGATTTTTCCATAATAACGTATAAAGATCTACCTCGTTTCTCTTAATAGCTGCTTAGTGTTCCATTGCCTCAGTGGACTGTAATTTATTTGATTAGCCTGTTATTGAACATATAGAGATTTCCAGTTTTTACTTTTTATACAAATATATAATTAGCATCCCTGTGCATATATCTTAGCACACTTTTGTGACTATGCTTGGTATAAATTCCAATTCAGAAATGGGATTGCTGGATATGAAGTAATACATTGAAGAATTTGATAAATATTGCTACATTATCCCCTGGAAACCGATTAGTGATACCCCCACCGAAAGTACTATAACAGAGCCAGATTCTCTGCTTTGTAGAGCTGAATACTTTCAAATTTAATTTATCTTTCCAATCTGAAACTTATTGCAATACTACTCTGATTTTGGTTCATTTTCATATGAGTGGAGTTGAACATCTTTTCATGTTTTCTTGGCAACTTCAATTTTTGCAAGTTTATATCTTTTATACAGTTTTGAATTAGGTTATTTGGCTTTTTATTAATTTATTTGTTTATACATGTTGGAACCTTTCTGTCTTATGTCTTAAAAATATTTTTATTCATTTACATTTGTCTTTTGATGTTATTTATTGATTTGGTTGTTTATTGGCATACACAATGTTTAAATTTTTATGTTGTCAGTTTATCCATATTCTCCTTTGTAGATCCTGGCATTTATTTCTAGTTTTTGAAAAGGCCTTCCCCGTTTTGAGATTATAAATAAATTTATTCATATTTTCTTCTAAGATTTATGATTTCACTTGTTTATTTTTATATATTCTGACTTCCTGGGATTTATTTATTGCAAGAAATGGATTAGAAGTTCAATTTTGTTCCTCCAAATTGTAGTCAGTTTCGCCAATGAAACATATAATACATTTCTGTAATAAAATAATAATCCCCACCACTTGTTCAAAATGCCTCTTTATTTGTAAACTAAGTTTCTTTCAGTATTTGGGTCTCTTCTGCTCTATTGATTATCTCTCTCAAAATAGCTTTAATTTCTCATAGTTTATTAATATCAATATCAGTATTTTCAAGCCAACATTCCCCTCAACTTCCTCTATATCTCTCTTTCTCTCTGTTAGGTGGATTAAAAAAAAGTAGTATCCAGTGAATTCACTGATTAATTGAATCTTCCTAGTCAGGAGCATTGCAGTCCAGGCTTGTGTGCCTATATAATTTCATGGCACTTGATAGAGTACTTCAGGTGTGTTCAACAGGTCCCATGAATTTCTTGTTTATTTCTGTATGTTTTGTCATTTGGCTGCCGTTTTCAATTGAATTAGTTATTCCGTTTTGTTCTAAGTTTATGTATAGGAATGTATTTATTAATGTCATAACCAAATAAGAAAACTGATTTCTTATTGTTTTTAAGATTTTTCTCTTGACCCCTTCCCAATATTCCCTTTATTTCTCTATTCTATTGAATTTGAAAATATTATTAATAACAATTTACATGGCACACTTGTCTTATTAACATTGATGAGATGCTTTACTGTCTCACACAATTTTACTGTATGAAGACATGTATTTTCCTTGTCATAATAAAGACTATCTATTATTCTCTCAAACTATTACTATTCTCTGGGAAAAAGACAGATGTGAGATTTTTGTCAGCGTCTTCTCAGTATCCATGGAGATGATCAAAAAATTTATCCCTTTGCTCTACTAGAATGTTTTATTATGCTAATAGAATCCTTAAGGCTAAATCATTATTATATTCCTGAGGTGATTTCTGCTTGGTCTTATGATTTTTGCTCTCGATATTCATAATTAAGATTAATCATTCTATAGTTTGCTTTTGTGTGCATCTGTGATTCAACCAACTGTAAATGACAGATATTCAGAAAAATTGCATCTGTACTGAACATATATGGAATTTTTTCTTGTCATTATTCCCTAAAAAATACAATATAGTAGCTACTTAGCATTTACATCATGTTAGGTATTATGAATAAGATGTCTTAAACTGGAGGATGTACATAGGTAGTATGCAAATACTGTGCCATTTTGTATGAGGAACTTGAGCACCCTCATATTTTAGTACCATGAGGTGGTTTCAAAATCATCTCCTACCTAATTTAGGAAGATCTGGGAGCTATTAGGTCAGCTCTGTTATGCTTCTGGATTTCTATTAAGCAGGCTAGGTCCTCTAGCTCATCTGGAATCAATTTTAGTTACTTTTTAATATAAGATTAATTGCATTAATTGTTCAACATCACTGCATGGTTTTGCAATATAAACGTTAGGGTTTTAACCTTTTCAGTGTTTGTGGTGATTTCCTTTTTCCACTTTAATTATGTGCATTTCTCCTTTCTTCTGTGTTTATTGATTTTTTGGATAGCGCATCCTTATACTTATCTGTCTGGGGATCTAGCCCTGACCCAGCCTTTCCGGTGACAGCAGGAGGCTGGGCAGTGCCAACCACAGAGGCAGAGCTGGTACCCCTCTTCTCTGTCCTGGCTGCAGGGCCCGAGACCCAGTGGGGCAAACCAAGTGGGACAGCAGAGCTGTGTGAGATGTAGCTGGTCACTCCTTTCTCTGTGACCACAGTTGGCTGGAGAACAGACCGACAGAAAATCTCACCAGAAGCCCTCTAGAGATGCTGGCCTCAGGAAGTAGCCGTACATAATTCCTTACATGATTGAACTTGCATTCCTTCTTTCTGTCCCACACACTCGGTTCCTGATCCTCCCTAGATCTGGGTGTAAGAGTGTTGCTCACCTTCTCACTGCCACCTCATTTTCTATGTATTGTATATTTCCTTTTTGGGCAGGTATGCCTTTCTATTAAGTGTATTTTGAGTGGGTAGGGGCCTCAAAGTCATGGGGAAGGGGTCCCCAAGGCCACTGCATTCCTTTTGCTTTTGTTTCCATTTTCTGTATATATTCAATATATACCAGATTTTGTTTCTATTTTAAATCTTTATCTTGAAACCTGCTTTCACATCAGGCCCACAGGCTTCCTTTCTGTGAAGATGCCTAGTATGTCCCTACCTGCTGTACGGAGAGCTCAAGGTGTGTCTCTCCTGTGCCTCATGTAACACCTCCGGGATTCAGGTGTGCAGGGTTTGTCCACACCAACCAATACTCCAGCATAGCTGTGTATCCTGACAATTTAGCTCATTTCTGGCCCCGGCTGCCCAAAGTTAAAGCAGGCTCCATGGGTTACGGGCTCAGTCCTGCAACACGGCCTGTCCCCTTTCATAGCTGAGGGCTGGCTGGGTATGGTGGCACACTCCTGGAATCCTAGCTACTCCGAACCCTAGTTCAGGGTCAGCCCATTTCAAAGTTAAAAAATCAAAAGCACTGGAGATACATCTCATTGTTTTCTGGGTTCAATCCCCAGTACCACGAAGAATATTAAAATGGAAATATAACTAAGTGATGATCCCAGGCTACCCACAACTCTGTCAGACTTGGTTTGATTATTTGCTAGACCAGTTCATAGGACTCAGCACTTTTCTTAGGATTACAGACATTCCTTGTTTAAGGATCTCCTTGTGTTCCTGCGATGAGGTCATTAAATGAATTTGTTGCTAAGTGAGGAATAATATATAGTATGTATGTTACAGTATTCAGAACAAAGAAATGGTCAAAGGAAACTCCTATTTGATGGCTTGGCTTTTATTTGTATAACTCTTAGATTCAGTCCTGTATATATAACAGAACATAGAACTATAGCACAGTCCTGTACAGTACAATCAGCAAAAATTACGGTACTGTGTAAACAAGGTGTACTGTACAAAAAAGACTTTGAGGCTCTTTAAACAAGGTGTACAGATCTGTACAAAAAGAAGACAAGTCGTAAGCCCGAGTGGTGGTTTGGAAGTCTGAGCAGTTGTTAAACAGGTAGGCCATTAAATGGGGAATGCCTGTTCATAATTATCAAGGATCCAACTCAGAAATGGCCAAATGAAAGCGATGCGAAGGGGAGGGATGGGGTCAGGGTGGGTGTGTGGAGTTCCCGTGCCTCTGGCCGCGCACCCTCCCAGCCCTGCTGCGTGCTCAGTGACCCAGACGCTCCCAGAACCCGTGCCTTTGGTATTTCTATGGGGGTTCAGTACATAGGCATGGTTGATTATTAACTCAGCCTCCCAACTCTCCTCCCCTTCTTGGAGGTTGGGATGGGACTGAAAGTGCTAGGCTGCTAATCATAGCTGAGTCTTTCTGGAGACCCCACCCGGGAGCCCACCGAGAGCTGCCTCAGTAGAGCAAAAAAACCCCCCAAAAACAAGGATTAGAGGCCAGGAACGAGGTCAGTGACAAAATACAACAACAAAAGATACTCTTGGCACCCTTGTTGCTTGGGAAATTACAAGGATTTTAGACACTCTGGGGACAGAGCCTATTCCTAATTTTATTTTTATTCTTTAAGGCATTCTTAGCTATATCTGGGATATGTGCTTACATTTTTATATGGCAGATGCATTTGGTTTTAATATATTTAAAAATTATGTAATTAATACTATTTTTGAATCCTGTTTGTAATTTTCTTTTTCCTCCTTTTGGTGTGTCTTCCTTTTGTTTAAATAGGTTTATTATCTTTATGTGTCTAAATGGTTACCTATATAATTTTCCATAATAAAATTGAACACATATTTCATGACTTATCGACATGCCAGTCTCTATTAATTTTTCACTTCTCATGTCGAACCCTAGCTTATTATAAGTTATCCCTTTGTTTTCAGTCCTTCTGCATTTCTTTACCTGACTTTACGTAACATGCTTTAATGTTCAC